CATAAATAAAGAAATGGTTTATGAAGTAGTTTACACATAGTCAGAGTCAGCAAACATAAGATTATGCAAGTAACATTGTACATAAGCCCCTTGCAATTTATTCTTATTGGATTGGAAGGATGTATATTCTGGTGAACTCTCTGCAGTGGTAGAGTCTGAACGGAATAACCATAACCACCTGTCCTCCTCTCCTTCCAGCAGCTTCCTGTAGGTGGCGATCTCAATGTCCAGAGCCAGTTTCAAGTTCATCAGGTCCTGCAGGTGAAGACAGAATCAGTTTCACTTCACATAATTTCATTTCACTTATGTTCTATGTTTTCTTGTCTATCCTTTGTTTCTACTTATAGTTTATATTTTCCATCCATGTCTTCTCCTGACTCACCTGATACTCCCGGAGCTGTCGAGCCATATCCTGTTTGGATCTCTGCAGAGCTTCCTCCAGGTCTCTGATCCGAGCTTTGGCTTCTTTCACAGCAAGCTCTCCACGCTCCTCCGCCTCAGCCAGCTGGTTCTCTAGACTGGCACGCTGAAGAGAGGAAGGGAACAAGAGATCATCCATGAGGGACCTGAAATGCATTTTTCTGAGTTTAATGTTGCTTCCATGTGTACCTGTGCTTTGACCGCTTCTATCTCGCTCTGCAGGCGGCTGATCAGTCGGTTGATCTCGGCGATGTCTCCCTTCACGATGCGAAGCTCGTCCCCAAACTGGCTGGCCTGGACTGACATTTGGTCAAACTGCAAATAGAATAGCTGTGAATGGTACGAGGACCGCAAAAGAAAATTATTTCATGTAAAGGAGGGAATCGTGGGCGTGCAGTGTTAGCACTGAAGATTATGCCTGGGACCTTTCTGTGTGATGTTTGCCTGTTTTTCCTGTGCGTGTGTGGGTTCTGTCCAGGTACTGTGGAATCACCTCACAGTCCAAAGACACAGGTGTGAATTGTCTCTTTTTTGTGTTAGCCTGCAATAGACTGATGACCTCTCTGGGTGTACCCCGCCTTTCCACCTTGAAGTGGATACATGGATGGATGGACTACAGACTGCTCTAAACACTTAGTTTCAGACTATTTTCAACCATCGGTTCTGCAGGATGTTAGTGAGCTAATGCTCCTGATGTTTTCATCTCAGACACAGAAGCTTTGTGTGGGGCAGCCAGTCAGGAGAAAGTTGTCTTAAAGGGAGAAGAGCTAAAACAGTTACTTTGAGTCCTGGAAAAGCTACTCTTGTACAGTTCAAAATCTAGAACTGGAGCGTGACAGGACATATGTTTATGCAGGGGAACTCTGACAACCGCTTAAATAAGTGACTGTAAAGCGCTTGTGTTGTTAGCGTCGCTCCTTTGGTCCAGAGATCATCCTGTTTTCTCTCCTTTACCTTATTCTTGTACCAGGCCTCTGCTTCCTCTCGACTGTGGGCTGCAATCTCCTCATACTGAGATTTGACCTCAGCTACGATCTGCTCCATGTTCAGACTGCGGCTGTTGTCCATCTGCACCACAACTGAAGTATCTTTAATGCTCGCCTGCAGCTCACGCAGCTCCTGGTCAAGTTGAGGGAAATCAAAGAGAAGCAGTCAGTATAAAAACCCGCAAGATCAACTATTGTCTCATGCATCTTCCTGCACTTGTGCCACCCCATGGAAAAAAATATGATAAAAATATTTTATGTGTTGCTAATATGCTCAGCATATGGAATCACAATGTTAACACACAAACACACTGCGTGTCTGGGCCTGTTTCAGTGATACTTCAGTGGTCTGAAAACCTCTCTGGTGATTTAGTGTGTTTTATTTTTATTAATTTAATTTATTATGAAGATCTCTAGAGAAGTCAGTTGACAACAACATCAACAACAACAAATGTTTCCGCAGGTTGGCATAAAAAGCATTTCAAAGGCAGACAGTGTTTTGAAGTTGACTCTCCAGTGAGTCATGATATAAAACAGAACAATGAACAAAGTGGAAATTGTAGCTTTATCCGAGAAACAACTGGAAACCAGAAAGGAAGAGTGTGCACATCCAGGATTACACGAAGAATAAGGACCTTTGTTTACCTCCTCATACGCGTTACGCAGGAAGTTTATTTCATCAGTCAAAGCTCCGACTTTATCCTCCAGATCAGCCTTGACCAAATAGGCTGAATCTACATCCTAAAACACACAGGGAAACACACAACTGATTAGGAGACACAGATTTTTGTGTTCAAAAATCCCCTGCACTTGGAGGAAATACTCCTGTTTGAGTCATCAGGAAGAACAATGAGCAGGATTTTGTTTATTCAGATTAAGAAAACTTTCAAAGTATGTGTGCAGACACCAAAATAATGTATTTGACTTCTTTTAAAGAGCAATTTGAGACCCAAAGTTGGAGCCAGAAAAATTGGGAAACTTATAGTATGAAGTCAGAAATCTTTGCTGAGATTACTGTAATGTCTAAGAAATGACACAAGATGCTGCTCGCACAGCTGCACAGGAAAGTTGCTAAATTATTTATGGATTCTGCGTGTGAGAATACAGGAGAGAAAATCTGCACAATGAGGAAGGACAATAGAGGGGCTTGTATTACTCGCCACACCTGTATGAATGAACATGAACGGATGTGTCTAAATGCCAACCTTTTTTAAGATAACAAAGTCGTTCTCCAGGTTGTTTCTCTTGTTAATTTCATCTTCATATCTGTGACAGGGAGAGAACAGGGTATTTTATTACAATAAAACATACACCTGTGTATGTCTGTGTAGGTTCTCCGCCATGCAGGTCGTACACCTGAGCTGAAAACTCTAAAGTGTCATTTTTTACTTGTGCTTGTAGTCCTCTACCAGACCCTGCATGTTTCTCAGTTCCCCATCCAGCTTAGTTTTGTCATTGTTGACCAGGTCCATCTGGCGCCTCAGACCTGCCATGTAGGCCTCAAACAGGGGTTCCACATTGGATCGGCTGACCCCCTGACCCTGCAGCAGCTCCAGTTTTGTCTCAAGCATCTTATTCTGCTGCTCCAGATACCGTACCTGGTGAGGGAAGAAGACCCAGATCATTTAGCATTTTCAAAGACACGGTGAAGGTTTGTCATAATGCACTTTTTGTTTCCGATCATCAGGATTGAAGGAACAGCTAGAAAACAAAAGTGACTCTATTATAAGATGTTTATCAACATAACAACTCTTGGAAAGTCTAGAGCTATGTCATTATGTCGTTTGGGTCGATTCAGTCAGGTCTTCCAGTGGGCATCTTATTAGTGGAGCTTTCATTACTCCAAGACGGGCACCAGCTATCCTCTAATTACAGTCTCTGAACTGGACCCATATGTCTGTGCCGTTGATTCCTTTTGGTTAAATAGACCAGTAGCACTCCACCCTCTCGACCAATTTGGGTCACTTCTGCCCCCTCCCCCCCCAAAAAAAAACAACAACAAATAAACAAATAAACAAAAAACAAAACAGCATGACAGCAGCCAACAGTCCAGAAAACATTGGTGGCTTCTCTTCCAAAATCCAACTTTTAGTCCAGTTAATTTTGGTGCAGTGGCCAAACTACAACTGCTACAACTTCTATGTTCATACGTAAGCCACCTTTCTTCATAGATGGCAGAACTCTGCACTGATCATTGAATTTAAACTCTTTTAAAGTCACTATTACCCCCAGTGTTTCTTAACATTTGGAAAATGGCTATTACAGCACATAGGTGGATTGTATGGCTCATTGCTCTTTTGTAATGTATTGCCTCATTGCTGTATTACGACACTGTTGTTTTTGCTGACAATTAATTTTTGTTTTTCTCCTTGTTTTTCACAATCTTCAGAAAAATGCTTTCAGTTAATAAATAGAGTTTTTGCTTTTTTCTTAAATAATTTCTGCTTCTACATTGAATCTCTTTAGATTTTCAACTAACTGCTTATTGTTATTAAGAAAATAACCATCTGTTTAACCAATAAAGACTGCAATCATCAGCAGCAGCTCCAGAATAAGGCACAGAGGAATGCCATAACTCCAGCAGATAACCAGCTCGAGCTCAGTGTCAACACCTGAATATATTCCAGCCCTGTACTTGCCCGGCTCGTGTTTCTTACCTGCAGCCAGGTACATCCAGCGCCTATTATACCTTCCAACACAAAGCCCGTGTTCTGTTCATGACAGAATAACCTCCCTCTGAGACACAACCATACCGTGTCTAGTCTGATCTATCAGGTTACAAATTGAACTCAATGGGACGGAAATGGGACAGATAGCTTGAATATCCAGCATCCCAGTGCTATACATTCATGCAGTAAATGACCATTTAATCTCAGATGTTTAACTCCAACTTTGATGTTCACTGACGTGCAGCTTTAACTGGAGTCATTGTCTTACAACAAGTGAGACGTTGTCTTCCTGATGCATTTCACTAATTACTTCTCTGCATGAGAGAAGCAGCTCGCTAATGTTTAATTTAAACAGTTCCTCCTAAGTAGGATTGGATTATAGTCGTCACTGCAAGGTCTGTTTATTTATCAATTCACTCAACTTTGCATTTTAGTAATTGTCATCATCAGTAAGGGGGTCATTTTACAACATCCAGATTTTAATCCCAGGTTAAGCAGAAATCCAATCTTGGATAAATGAACAAAGAGGGGAAAACTGGGCTAGACATCTTTTAAAAGCCAGGTTGACTCTCATGAGCTTCTGCAACTGAAGGTCTCTAAGGACAAGGACTCTTTGTGTGGGGGAAGTCACATAAGCCATCTCATTTACGGAGACGAATGGACGGTGTTTCCAAATGTTTTCTATGAACATTCATAATATTTTGTCTTATTCGGTGGATAGACTGTCTGGTTTTATTTTACAGCTCTGCAGAACTGCACACACAAAATATCAAATAAACCCCAAAAGCATTTAAAATGAAGATGTTTTGGTGATCTGTTAGTTTTTTAGCTACACACACACATTTACACACTTTTAGCTACTTCAAGAGGTATTCAATCATTACCTTAGATTTGTCATTGATGTCATTGTTATTGATGTCTTCATTGAACTGAATAAAAATTCTTATTATTAATATGTTTTATTTACTAATTGAATCTTCACAAAAATATTTGCATATTTTCTTTAAATGTGCACAAAAGTAATAGCGGTACAGGACATCAGAGAATATCAAAGATTGTTAACAACCTTTCTGATAAACATTGTCTTTGGGAAACTATGCCAACATTCACATCGCTCAAAAAAGCAGGAGGTTTATTTTGCACATTTGGACAAACGGGCTTCCGTCCAGCTCAGCTCTCTGTTTCTGTACGCCTGAAGTGAATCTCCGCTGATGTGAGAAGCCAACAAAGCCTCTATTGTGAAAGTGTTACCTACTCCGTGAGAAAGCAGAGATGTTCCCTAAGTAGGGTATCGATGTCCAGTGTTATCACAGGGCCGATTGCTCCTTCTGTGGGAAATGTGTGCAGCCTGTGTCCTTCAGGAACTTCAACAAGGCATCTTCTCATTCACATTTACTCCCCTATTTGCTTTTTCATAACACTTAGAATAGAAACTTAGGGTCCTATATATGCTGCCCATGATAATGTTATTTCTACCTTCAATTAGCCAACAAGACTGCAGCTTTTTCATAACATGTCTAATAAATCCACAGAATCATAAATGCACAATCTTGATATCCTGGGCATGTCAAAGTTCATCTGCATTGTTCATAAACAAGAATTTTACAAATAGCTGCAAAGGCCACGATGATGCAACCTTAAAACAGCTTTTCCACAAATTTTTTTTTAAAAAAATGTGTAAGTGATTACTGCTGCCAGCCCAATAATGTTTGACCATCTCCTATAAATGTTCTCCTGTAAATTCAGACAAAGCAAACAGCAAGAAGAAGAGACTGATCTGAACTTTAGACTGTCAGGGTCCTGGGTCTCCTGACCCAGTGTTTTTAGTTCTTTGTGATGTTTGTATTATTGTACTTGTGTGAGTTATTCTATGGTTTCTAGTTTCGATCCCTTGCCCTTCATGTTTCTCTGTGTCCCCTCTGTTCTGTGTAAGTCTGTGTCTGCATGTTTGAGTTCCCCTCTGTGTCTTTCGGTTCTTAGAGTCCTCTGCCTTATGGTTTATGTCTCTGTGTTTCTTAGTTGCTGTCTCCACTGTGTCAAGTTCGCGTCTCTGTGTGATCCTTCCTGTTTTACTTTGAAGGTCCGTGTCTTATGTGAATGTGTCCTGCTTTGCTTGTCTCGTCAGTCCTGATTTCTCCCAGGTGTGCCCTCCTTCTGTGTCTCATTCTCCTCGTTACTCCCCAGTGTATTTAAACCCTGTGTTTCTCTGAGTCAGTGTTGTGTTGTCCCTCATGCTGTGTGGATCTCCCTGTGTTAGTTTGTTGTTTCCCAGTTTACTTTAGTTTGTCCTGTCCTACCAGCAAATAAAGCTGTGATTTTTGAGTTCATCCCCTGAGTCTGTGAGTCTTGCATTTTGGGTCCAACTCCTGCCTGCCGCACAGCGATTCATGACATAGACTGAACACAATAAATAAGAAAAGGCTTAAAAAATTCTAATACTACAAATTAATGGAAATAAATGCACAATATTGGTGGTGAGAAAAGGGATGAGTCACAAATACACAACATGAAAAATAAATGTCATTTAAAAACTTGAATGAAATGTAAAATTGTAAAATATACGCAACTAATGTGGAACCTGGCTGAACGCTTTATATCTTTATAACTGTTCTTTGAGCAGGACAGTGTTATGTTCCTCTGCTGCATGAAAAACAAGTGCAAACTGAACTTGCTGTAGATAATTAGTTTGAAATTGTAATAAAACAGTAGCTTAATTTCCTTTTACATTGAGTCAGTTTTTCATTCAAACTGAAGAAGTTACAGCTGAAGCTGCTCGAGCTTTTTAGTCCCTGTAGTAGTACCACTGTGAAGTAATCTAAACATAAAGATGCATTTTTATACTTTACAGCTGTGTGATGTTTAGATAAGAGGAATGATAAAACTTTGAAAACTATAATGTATATTTTCTTCATAAATGATCAAAATACTTAGTAATAATTTCTGAACCAGCCTCAGCAGAGGTCTCTTTACCTTATCTATGAAGGTTGCAAAGCGGTTGTTGAGGCTCTTGATCTGCTCCTTCTCGTGGGCTCGGCTCATGGACAGGTTTGGATCGATCTCCAGGTTGAGAGGAGCCAGCAGGCTCTTGTTGACGGACAGGGATGCCAGCGGAGCCCCCAGGCCGTGGTGATGCCCGTTGGTGCCCGCATACAGAGAACTGCTGCTGAGGGAGATGCCACTGAAACCTCCCTGAACTGGACCGAAACCACTCAGCCTCCTGGAGCCGCTGCTGCTCCGAACTGAGTTACTGGAGCTGATTCGCTTGGTACGACTCAGACTCATGATGAAGCGAGATGGAGGATTAGATGAAAAACAGCTGATAAATGTTTGGATTGGCTGGAGATGACAGAGAGAGATGATGAAATTTGAATTGGACTGAGCAGAAAATGGACGACAGAAGCAGAAAGAGAAGTGAAACAGGTGAGTGCAGGATGTCTGAACACAGTAAGGTGTCTCAGGTGTCTCATGACCATTTAAACCTCCCCAGGGTGGAGTCAGAAGAGGAGGAGAGAAGCAGGGACGCAACAGAGCTGTGGTGTAATATATCCAGTGTTTACAATTTAAGGCCAAAAAACTCTTAGTTTAACAATCTAAAGAGGAGATGAGACTTTGGACAAATTGTGAACTTCCCCTTTTGCTGATGTGACACACTGAAGACAAAAGGTCAATCTTCTTGTTTTTGTGTCAGTTTTCCTACTTTTTTTCTCACTTTATTGCCTCGAGAAGGTTAACTGACCTGAGAACATGTTGGTGTTTCTATAGTTTCAGTGGCCCAAACATTGCTAATGCAGCAAGCCAGTTGTACGTGTTAAAGTGTTGATCTCTAATGTAGTTTTCTTCTTTGACTTTCTACTTCAAATTAAATCTATAATTTGGGTCAATTATGAGATTTATTGAAAATAATTTAGACAGCTGTTTGTTCTAGTTTCATAACTGGTGGGAACGTTAACTCGGCTGTTGAAACTGTGGTGTCAGTGGTTTGTCAAGTCACATTTCAGACGTAGAAAGAGGTCATCGGTTGGAACATAGAGCAACGCTGAAGTACATTGCTGTGTTCTGTGGTCTTCTAAACCTGCTCAATATAAGCGACACGTGGTGACTTTTACAGAAAGACAAGCAGAAAGGATGGCAGCCTCATGCATCTTGCTGCACCGTGCATGAGCATCTTCACTTTGCTGCGATCCTTCCTGGCTGAGGACCTCTATAACATTATTACATCAGTGCTTATCATCAAAGTATAAACTATTAGCAGACAGACAGGAGTCCTGGATCGATATTTTTAGAACTGAACCTTTTGTGAAAGTAGAAATATCACATGAAGAAAACACCTAAAATTCACAGAAAAAAAACGTTTGTAATCAATATCTGAAAGTGAAATTAAAATATCAATGAAAAAATTAACGTGGTGAGTTGGCAGAAAAACTGGGTAAAGTTTGTATGTTCGGTCAACCAAGTTTTCTCATAGATATTAACCTGAAAAGGTTGGAGCCTGGAATTCATTTCCATTCACTTTTTATGTAGTACCAAATCACAAAAACAGGATATTGGAACGTAAAAGCCCTGAACCTTTATAAGAAAAGACACCTAAACAATGAAACAATCTTCTGTCAGCACCTGGTGACAGTGGGAAGGAAAAACACTTTTAACAAGAAGAAACCTGCAGCAGATCCTGGATCAGGGAGGGCCAACCATTTGCTGTGAGCAGCTGAGAGATGAGAAGAAAGAAAAGGAAGCACAGGACGACCGGCTGACCTTTTCATATGCCACTCTAACTCCTCTGTGTCACACATTTTAGCCAAAGTGGTTGGTAAGAAAAACCTAATTTGTTAACATGATCGCAGAAGTTACATAAGGTTACTTGGATACTTGCTTATGCTAGCTCTGTTTCCACAAATGCACAGATTTTAACTGATTTCAAAGCAGTGAGGCAGAACCAGCGGCATCTTGTTCAGCCCTCTGGCCTCACAGATAGAATAAATAAAACAGTCTGTAAGCTAAACACAGCTTATTATGATCTAAGCAGCTTACAGGCTGGAAAAAATAAAGTCCCATCGATTTTGTCGTTGCTGCTGACTTCCAGAAGGTTGCCCCAATCCCCAACGTTGCCTGGCTAAAGGTAGGACTCCAGCTTTTGCTGGCCAACCCTGTCAGTTTGTCTGTCCAGAGTGACTCAGTCACTGTCACCACGGCTGGTGTCGCATCCTGCCACCTGTTTTGTTCACCTCCAGCCTTGCCTCCAGAAGGTCACCGTTACTGCTGATGCCAGCCCTCTGTCAAACCATTGTCTCCTCCCACTTCTTCGCCAGTCTCCAGAAGAGTCCTGTTTCTTCTCCCAACGCCAGCCTCCAGAGTTCCTCTATTTCAGTCACTGGCAAGCTGGTTAGCTTCCGGATTACTTGATCTCACTGTTGGCCTCTGCAGGTGAGCGTCTTGGATTGATTTTTGAGTTTCTAAGTAACAGCCATAAAGCTCAGTCCTTTAGTTAATGCCTTGGGTCCTCCTGTGCCTGCCACACAGATGTACCCGACACTTTCCTGTTTAGCTCACTTCTTTGTGGTCACACTGAATAAAACATTAAGCTTATTTTATAAATTTCGTCATGCGACGTTTAGAAAGGAGGATTGTCAGTGTTAAGCTCATTGGCTAATGACTTGTGACTGACAAGTTGAGCAGACCTAATTTTTTTTAATCTTGAAATGTCAAATCAAGATTTCAGAAAATTGTGGTGGTTACATCTGCTTCTAATGCTGTCTGTGTTTAGCACCATGGTTTCCTGACAGTTTTTCACGAGGCCAGAGGTGTATCCACAATGCTTCTGTGCAAAAACCCTAAAAAACATGCTAGACTCTAAGTTTGACAAGCTCCAGGCTGTGTTGAGAGGATACAGGCATGCTCATGACAAAACCCTTAACTCTGCTGCTGGAAACTGTGGTTTAGGTTTGGTTTAAGTGTTGCATCATGGCGCTCTGCACCAAAGAACATTTCTTTGTTCTGTTTTTTTAAACATCCTTCACAGCCACCTTAAATTCATTTGATGTGGCTACATATCTGGTGGTATGCATGAAGAGAGAACACAAGAGAGAACAGTCAATAGCAAAACCTCTACATGCCCATCCCCTTTGACAAAGTTCTTATTTCCACAACCTCACTTATCAGAAAACACCAATCAGATTGTGATCTGATTATGATCATGCTGAGTCATTCTGTGTGGTTGTGTTTGCTCAGAGTTTCATTTTAAATGCTGCTCTCACCTTTTGTAATGTTTCCAGTTACACCCTTTTTAATTTAGCTTTTGTTTCCCATGTTTTGTCCAAAAAGCATGCAAAAACAAAAAACAAAAGGACAATGCAGATTTTTTCTTTTTTACATTGCTTTAAAAGACAAATGAGCTTATTGAACATGTAGATAGTTACAATGATTTAAAAAAAATCCCTATAAACATAAAAAATGTCCAAATCAGCATCTACATCTTTCACATTGATACTAGTACATAATAATAACAGACTGGTTAAGAATGTTTGACTGCAATTCTTTTGGTAAATGCTACTTTCATGCATCATATATTACTCTATTCCACAGTATTCCAACTTCCTTATGTGTTCTTATTATCTGAAAATTATTTACAAATACCCGACTTCATTTTCACATTTCATAAACAAGAAAGTCTTCGAACCAACAGCCAATAAGATCACTGCCTCATTGCCCTTTTCAACATGCAGATTACTTACTGAAATAAATAAGCATTGTTGTTTGTTTATATTGTTGACTGATTCAATCACTTTAAGCGTTTTATCAGAACAGAAGCTGTAAGAAACTGCAAGAGAGCAAAGAGTCAAACCTAAAGCTTGTGTGTGTGGTTTTTCTTACTCATCATCTATACTCAGCTAGCACTGGGTTTATCGTTGCCGTGATAGCAACCCACAAACAGGCTAAAGGTTTAAGTTTTTCATTTTGAAAGCCTGGAGAGGCATTTAAACGAAAAACACTCAATAGATGCACGAGCGCCTCATAACATGCTCTTTCCAGGCAGCACAACCACAGGCGTTGTATTTACTGAAACATTAGTATGGTCTGTGATGCCTCACAGTTTGACTGACCGCACAGGCTCATCATAGCGATCCTTTTAAAGGTTGCACTCATGCAGAAACGATATAAGTAAGAAGTCAAGGGCAAGCAGATGAAAACCACAGTCTGAATATCAGGGTCTGACTCAACACCTCAAAGACGAAAGGCTGAAAAGATGATGCATGCTGTGCACGATCTTATGTTTCTCTATCTTCTAACATGTCTTGGACAAAATGGTAAGATTGCAAAATGTAATTACTTATCTATTGAAAAAATCCTACATTAACTTTTTTCCTCTCACTCTTGCAGGGCATGGAAGTGAAATCATAAATGGCAAAAATGTCCCACAGAACTCAATGCAGTATATGGCTTCTGTGCAGATCAATGGAAAACACGTATGTGGAGGATTTCTTGTCAGTGAAGACTTTGTGCTCACGGCTGCACATTGTTACAAAAAGTAAGTGAACAAGCTGTGAACTTTTATTTGTTTTTCTCCAAAAACCCAGCTAACACCTACTTAATATTCACTCGCTCAGTTCTCCTATGGAGGTTGTAATTGGAACCCACAACCTGAAGAAGGTTAATAACAACAAAATGAGATACAGTGTACAGACATGCAAGCACCCACAATATGACAAAGTTGTGTCTGGTAATGACATCATGCTCCTCAAAGTAAGTAAATATCTTTGAATGTGAATCATTACAGTCACAATCAAAAACAGGTCAACTGCATCACTGCTTTCAATAACTCCACTTGGTACTTCACCAAAGACTTGATATAAGATCAGAAATGTACCGAGTGGGTTTCTATCAGTCCTTTTATTCTTTTCCTTTTTTGCTTCTTCTAGCTCTCGAGGAAACTTCAACTGGACAAGAAAGTGAAACCGATACAACTGGCAAGGAAGGAGATTAAAGCAAAGGACAATGTAAAGTGTCAGGTGGCTGGATGGGGTATCACAGAAACCAATGACAAAGCTGTTGATGTGCTGAGATGGGTAGATGTGCCTCTTATTGACCTTAATGTCTGTAAGAAACAATGGACATTCGAGAAAGTTACTCTTCCAAAAGGTGTTATCTGTGCAGGAGGAATTAAGTC